CGTGCCGCGTATGCCGTGCCGCGCGATGGCGTTGTTGTCGCCCATCAGATTCAGGGCTACCACCTCTCCTCCACCTCCGGCGTCAGCGCCGGCTCCGGCTACGGATCCGCCGCCGCTGTTCACTTGCACCTTGAGGTTGGACATGTGAGAAGCTGCGAGAGCAATATATGCGCAGCGTGTAGGTGCCATCAGCCACCACTCTGTCCAGATGGAAACGTATCTGCCATGTCGTTGGCACTATGTTCGTCCTCGTCGTCTCATTGTTACCCACGACGATTCTTCTTGTGACATGAGCAAAGAACCAGTCCCTGGAGTGGTTGCTCCTGCCGACCGTGAACACGAGGTCGCCATTTTCCACAGGGTACAGGGCGGCGTACCTCTCCCACAGGCCGTACTGCCGGTACCTGTCCTTGGTGAGAAACAGCCTGCTGGCGTACTTGGGGTCGGCGTCGGGGACGTAGAACTCCGCCGCCGTCCGGTCCGGGACGCCGATCTCCCACAGCGTGGGGCCTGATCTCGGAGGCTCGAACACCAGGTCACCGAGGTTGACGACGGTGGCATTTCTTGCTGGCGCCGCTATGGTTACAGTTACAGGCGAGGTATGCATGTAGTCTCCAAGGATCCCGGGAACCCATGCGTACAGATTGTACGTTCCTTCACGGACATTGGCGATGCTGAAGCTGCCGTCCGATGTGGCCCTCGTCCAGAACTGATACCCCTGCATGCATCGTTGGGATGTTATCTTGAAATGACACAACAAATGTAGAAAAAATGTCGAGATGCATGCATATACTCCTACTACATACATACCTTGCTCTCTGTGGCCCAGAAGCCAGGTTGGCCAGGTGAGGCGAGGCCGACATAAGCCATCGCAGCAGGTTCAGGCTGCTGCATCGCTGCTGCCTGCTGCTTGTCGTCGTTGGAGTAGGACCTGTCCCTGACCCAGAGCCTCCCTGTGACGGAACCTCTCTCGTCTGCCATTGCAAAGTCCGGCGACCCGGGGAAGCTGTAGGGCCATTTGCACACCTCCGCCTGCGCCTGCGCCTTGGCGTCCTCCCAGAGATGATTGTTGACATCGTCGTCGTTGGAGCCGGCGGCGTGCAGCAGGTGGTGCCCGGAGTTGAGGTAGACGAAGACGGGGCCCAGCACTTTCTTCCAATACTCGCCCTCATCAAAATTGATAATCATGTCCTTGCCTACGTAATGCGGCCCTAGAAACACCTGCCGGCAGACATTTGCTTATTGCATTGGATGGTGGTCACCACCAGCAGAACAGAGTAGACGACGACGACAGATGCATGCAGCATCAGCATGCTTACCGAGAGGGAGGTGGGGCCGGTGTGGGAGGTGAGCTCCCGCTTGAGCGGCCCGCCGTTCTTGAACTCGTTGCTGGGAGTGATGACCCAGAAGCCGACGCCGCCCCTGCTGGAATCGCCGGCGGCGATCCATCCGTGCACCGTGTTGTCCTTGTTGTCCATCGAGTACTGGTACTTGTCGTCCACCTCGCCTTTGAACTCCGGTTCCACGGGGTCCACCAGCAGGACGGACTCCTTGTAGTCCAGCGGCACGCCGCGGGGTGGATCCCTGTCCGCCGCACTCGGCATGTATCTCTGAATGTCGTCGGAGATGGCCATGTAACGGAACCTGTCCTCGTTGAGCTTGAAGGCGAGGCGAGCCACGGAGATGTTGAGCGCTGGGCACTCCCGGGGATGCTCAAAGATGGCGTAGCAGTAGAACCCGGAGCTGCCTCGCAGCATCACAAACCTTTTGTCTACGTTTAGCCGGAGACTGTTTGGAGGTGATGAAGGATTGTATGAGCTCCTGAAAGAAAGCTCGACTTGCTCTTCATCTGAGGATACAACCTGGAACTCTGTACCATCCAACCTGTATTATTTTACATAGTCATTCAATATGTGTATCATCAAACCCCTTAATTATATTAATTTGTCGCTACGCTAGCTAGCTGTGATCATAAATCAGCAATAATTAATTAATGAAAATTGCAATGATATACTATATGCCGCACCTTTCTGCTAATTATTAAAGAATACTAAAAAAACAAGATTTGCAATCATGCATGGACAAAGAGAAGAAAATTTCAATATCAGCCAGGGCCAAATTAAACACGCATGATCGCATCACAAGCATATATAGATGGACATTATTTGGTGCCACATTCTTCATCATTCATAATAAGTAGTAGAATTCGTTAAAAATACAACAAGTAACAAATACTCCCTTTGTTTGATTCTTTGTATAAGTCGTCAAATTGAATTAGCACAAGTTCTTAGACGTATATTTGACCATTCATTAGTCTTACAATGCATCACCTATGTTGCTACAAAATCAACTCGATCAATGGAAAGACGATATGTGGATCCATCTATGCAACTTGTATATCTAGTAGGTGCTAGATATATAAGACTCGTAATTAATTAAATATAATGAGCAGCAGCAGCAGCCACTCACATATCCATCATTCCTTTTGGTTGATTTGAGCCAGGGTAGTTCCAAACCACATCCCAGTACCTGCAAGAGATCGAGTTCCAAAGATTTTGGTTCGACGGCAAAACCAACCAACAATGATCGACGATTGAGGAACTTAAAAGATGGATCAACATACATAAATCATATATATATATAACCGGGCATGCAGCTGTAAGTTGTAGTTCTCTTTGTCCATATATAGTGCTAATATATAATTGCTAAATTAAATCAAACTTGTCTAACTTTGTCCGATCCAACAGTTAATTAGTCTCGTATACTACCATGAAGAAGACTATCTTGGCATGCAGTGCATGCATATTTATTTCGTATTATATATCTTGATAGTGTATTTTTGTACAAATCCGGCCGAATGAAGCCATATAATTTGACTTATAGGAAAAGCATGCAAAACTACATGAAAACATAGGAATTAGCTTATTAATTAGGCGCAGGGCGTGCATACATACCCTCCTGAGTTTGCTTGGCTGGCGTTGTACTGCAGCAGGTTTTGGTCGTCGCCGTTGTAGCGGACGGCGGTGATGTGGCCCTGCGGCGCGGACAGCGACACCTGCACCATGCCATTGTCCACGACCACCTCCACCTGCATGCATGTATTATGTATTATGTATTATATATATAGATTGTCATGTGTGTTACTGATGATTATATGTATCAATTGTCAATGCAAATACTAGACCACCCAACAAAAGCTAAAAAAAAATGCTGTAATAACAATGTGAAAGCAAGAGCGCGCAGGCACTCTCTTCTTTTGTCCGTCGATGGAGTGGAGACTGGGGAGCTAGCTGGCGCTGCAGCAGGGGATTATATTGCCGAGACTGTCCGATCGAGAGCTGACGAGAGCCATGCATGACGCGGTGACAACCAGCAGGCCGGCTGGGAGCAGCTACGCCACGGCCGCCACCATACTGGTCTCGCGCGCCCGCCGTGTCCCCAGACCGGCATGATGGGCAACCTGCCAGCCTCAAGCCTCAAGGCGTACGCTAGCTCAGCGGTCTATCCTATTCCTATCGTCCTCCGCGGCGTACGTGCTCATCTATCTATCCCATCTCATCTCACCACGCGCGCGCCGCCGGCACCCACTACTCGGCTCACCCAGAGGCCAGAGCCAGACCCAACTTGCAATGCTGCTTCCTCTCGCTTGCACGGCCCGCTGTCCTCCTCGATCAACAAAACAAAACAGAATTAAGGGAGGAAAGCCTAGCTAGTGGACGGCCGCCGGAGAAGTGCCCAACAGACCTGGCGAGGGTCGACGTGTAACGTGACGCCACCGGCTGCTCCCGGCGGCGGGGCGGCGGCGACGAGCAGCACCAGCATAGACGCTCCGACGGCGAACTTGAGGCACGACCTAGGAGCCGTGGCCATGGTCGGGTCGACGCTGGCTTGTCTGGATAGTTACTAGCTAGCTACTCTTATATATGAATGAATGAATGAATCCGGTGGGTTGGATCACAGCAAAGGCCCATCTTTCTCTATATATACTATTTTCATCACCCGGAAAAATAAATTAATTTCTATAGTTGTTTTATTTTAAGTCAAACTATTTAAAATTTGACTAAATTTGTACTAGAAAAAACACTAGTATTTATGACATCAAATTAGTACCACTGGATACACCGTAAAATATATATTTTTAATCTATTTCATTTTTGGTGTTACAAATGCTGTTATTTTCTTCGCTATAAAGTTGATCAAACTTAAGATATTTTGATTTAAGTTGATTTATTTTGGGACTGAGAGTAGTAATATGCTATATATTCTGTCATTATTATTTTCCAAGCCTTGGCAAAAAGAAAATGTTTTCCCAGCTCGATGGTTGCTCATCAAATTAAAAATATTTTCCGAGCTTGATGGTTGCTCATCAAATTAATACGTACTACTAGTGGTAGTACAAAGGAAAGGAAACTAACTAGCCATATAATCTAATAGGATCGGATACGGAGAGAACTCAATCATATACTACAAATATACAATGTCATTAATTAATGGGCTTAATTTGGGTTCCTTTCTTCTCTTCAGTCGACTTTGCTTCAATTGTACACAGGGACTCTCTCCACCGCCGGTACATTCTGCAATCTGCATAGTAGTGCAGACTGACATTACATGGGACGCGTGTACTCCCAGTTAAAATGACTTCTCACTTGTCGAGTTACAATATGCAAATCTTCACCGTCTATCAAAAGGACGACCAAATTTTTGATACAGAAAAAATCAATTGCACCCTAAAACGTTGAAAAATATCACGAGCAAGGAAATCTGTAACGCATGTCCTCTGCTCGTGTTGCATCTACATATGCTGCTTCCTTTACATGCATGTATGTACATTGCCTATTTGTATACACATGCATCACATTCTCGATAGGTCTAACAAATTAAAAGAAAAGAATCAGCTGGAGCTGATTACTGTACTCTGCACATACATCTGGCTGGGGTCAATGCAAAGACGCAGGAGGCATTCTTGTCTTGCCTGGGGATTGGAACCCATGTTGGATCGCTTACCATGACCCAGCCTCTACTTGGCTACTAGTCGTCTTCGTCTTATCATCACCAGCACCATCCCGCAATTTGCAGTCACTTGACAGTGCTCTTACCCATGAATCAACCTGGAAAATAACCAAATCCAATGCAAATCAGTCTCTGTCGCACGTATTATTTTCTGCATTTCAGAGTAGCTCTCTGTTACCTGTATTTCGGAAGTACTGGAGCATTCAAACTTCAACCCTTGACGGGTCAACAGGTAAAACGCATATCTCGTCTTTTCGTCTTCAGGCACAAAGTTTGGAAGCTGCCCTACTTCAACAACATCACATAACAGTGTAGATTCTTGTGGGCTCAGATCTGAAACATAGAAATGTCACGAGTTCACTAACAGCTAACATCCAAGTGCATAGTATTCGTATGCCACCATTCACCAATATCATCTTTGACCGGACGGCTGGACCATAGCCAAAAAGGGAAAAGAAGAATTTACCTGTAGATTTCAGATAATAGTACAAACACTGCCCTTGTAGAGCAACAAAGCGAGGTAGCCAGTCATCCACATCAGCATCGGCTAATATAGGTGGTTCTCCAGGGAGCTGGGACCATCGCTGTGTATAAACCAAAACACCATACTCATTAGCTTTGAACGCTTCTGACAAGAGTGAAGCAAAAAGAAACAAATATTGGCACAGGTTTCATACACTTCGAATGTAGAGATAGCCAGAAAGTCGTGCATATCTCAAAACTTCATCAATATTTTCCAACCTGAAAGGCCAAAACATTAACCAAGTGCAAATAATATCATCAGCGTATCTCCACTTCTCAAAATGGACTTTTCAACAGAATGCACATATCATACCGAGCTTTTAAGTGAGATTCCCTTTCCTCAGCTTCTGCTATTTCGGTTCGTAAAGTCTCTACTTCAGCTCTGGATAATTCAATCTGCTACCAATGAAAATTGTTAGTGTTGCAAGAGAGCAATCATGATTATTGTGATATGGACGCAGAGAAACTTGTTTATAGATTATTCAGTAACCTTGTCATCATCCTCATTGCTCGTAGACCATCTTATGCGGGGAATGGACAATAAATGCAAAATGGATGCAGCTCCCTTAACTCGTCTTGGAGTCCAGGAACGCCCACGTGAACTGTTTACATGAGAAGAACAGCATGTTATTGTTCCCACAAAAAAGCAGAGAATGGGTACAGCTACAGAATTCCTTTTGCCACAAGTATCACCTTGGTGGACTATCCAGGTTATTCTTACTTGTTGATAGACCATCAGGAGTCTCCATAGCTTCTTTTGATGGTACAAAGTATTGGGGGAAGACCTCTACCCGTCCATATACATCATCCATCCAAATATGCAAGTGCTAGAAGTGCATACTCTGTTTGTGACGAGATAAACAACATTACTGAGCTATCACATGAGCTGGTGGTGAAGTATTACTTCTCCATTAGGTGAATTATTTTTTAAAAATACACCAAATCTGACCTCATAAAATTATCCATGACTCCAAAATCTCAACTTGCTAACAAATGAGTAGTTAATTCATTGCAAGAGACAGTTGTAAGTCTAGGGACCACTTTTTTCATAATTACACAAACACAGGTGTGCTAAGTAATTAGGACAAACTAATCTACGCATGGTACCGAACATTATTGACAGCGAAATTTCTGCCCTTTTTACTTGTTGATAAAATTAGGATCCTTCCTGTAATCCGTACTCATGCCTATGAGGTGTTGATGGTACTAGTAATAAGGCTAAGGAAGAATGCGTTGTAAAAGGTAGAGGAGTCTCTATTATAGTTTGATGTGATGTCATTAACTGAATAGGCAGAAAATACATGCTCATGTGTGGAGAAGTACCATCGGACGGACGCTTGATCCCGTTATTAAAAGTTAAGAAGCACGCAGGGGACATTGAATTAGGCGGAGTTGACATACATGGCAATTGGCAACTGAACTGAAGTTAACTCAACAATTGGTGGGAATTACTGATGGAGAGACAGAGCAAGAAAGTCAAATTTGGAGCTTGCTAGTTGCTAGTGCTAATAGGCAACCCCCTCCAGTCCAGTATGCCAGTATGGCCGGCATATCAGAGGGCCGCCGAGGTCCCAGCCAAACGGACAGGAGAGATCGGCGAGGGGCTGAGGTCATGGATCGAGACAGAGCAACAACAACAGGGAGAAATCGAGGAAGTATGGGATCAAACCTGGGGCGCAGGGCAGCGCAGGACTCTTTTTACTCTCTTCCTTTTGTTTTCCCTTTTCTTCGGAAGAGAGCAGATGGGCGGACCGGCGGCGAGTCGGAAGGGTCCGGCGAGACGGGGAGTCGAGTCGGCGGTTGGGACGGGAAGGGAAGGGAAAGGTTGGTGAGGTGAACAAGAAGACAAGGGCGGGCGCAGCGCAGGTGGAGGTGGGTGGGGTCACAACTCAGAAGAAGGGAGGGAGGCCAGGTCGGACGCGATGACCGTTTTGACCCTCCGAGCTGCGCTGTCATATGGACTCGGTCTCGGAATTGCCTATTGTTTACGATTCGGTTCATTGTTTGTGTATAACACTAACAGCCAAAAAAATGTATTTAAAAATGTTATGTAGCATATATATCAGTTGACGTGCATCGTTCCTGCATTCATAAAAAAATTGAGCATAGTTTGAATACTTTTGAATTTAATTTCAGATTTAAAACCTTATTTTATATGTGCTCTGTGAAGGAACTTTGCATTTCACCATAATACATATGCTGTAAAATTACCCCTTTCATCCCCAAAAAGTGTCATTTTTTATATGAATTTGGAAAATCATATGTCCAGATTTGTAACAAAAGTGACACTCTTTTTTCGGACTAGGGGAGTACATGATAAAATACTACTTTCCAAATCATGAATTTATTTCAATTTTTTTTGAAATTTTGGAAAACGTTTAGAGCAAAATAGCTTGGCCGAAGTATTTAAAATAGTCTTTTGGGAAGAATTTTAATTTCAATCCCACAAAACCTATGATCCCATGTTTAATCAAAAATAGGTCACACTTGACTTATGGCATTTGTTTGAAAAAAAATACATTGTTTTGAAGATTTCTAAGTTTCTCGTTTGGAAGTAGGAAGACAAGAGGAGTAGAAGGAGTTGACAGTACATAAATTACACTTTGATTTGTCTATCGTTGAAAAACCTATGCCAGCCATTTTTTTGAACTTTGATAATTAAACAGTTATTGTCAAAGTAAACAACTCTAAAAGATAATATGAAGTCATCTATATAAAGAGGTGATTGAAATCTGTCAGAAAACTGAGTAATTCTAGAGTAAAAGCATTGGGCTATGTCCATACATCTAAAAATCTGGCAGATCAGTTCATAGATGGTGTATCGAGTGAGATATACTTGAGACCCATGTGAATTCTACCAGAGTGGTAACCTTTCCTATGTGATTGAAGATCCCATAATGTAGGATGGTGAAACAAGCCATTAGTTGATTATGAGGAGTGACCCTTTGAAAGGTCCTAATATGGTTAGAGGAGGGGTGAATAGCCTATTTAAAAATTTACAAGATCAATAGAGCAATTTGATTAGTATGACAAATAGTGAAATACAAACTTGCTTTAGCTCTACAAGGGTTGCAAGCTACCTATTCAACAATTCTAGTCACTATAATCACTAGGCACACAATTGGCTAAGCCACTATTCACTAAGAACTCTCATACTTGTGTTGACGGTCACTAACATTAATTATAAAGCGTCAACATAACATGTATTTATACTTAATTGCATCACCAAACATTGGTATAGGGGTTTAAACTAATAAATTCCACGAGTTTTGGTGAATCTGTGTTTTCAGCAAAGTTTATCTAGAAAATCGCCAAGGGTGACCTATTCGTCAAAGTAAATTATGGAATTCCGCCGCGTAATCAACGTGGGAAGACTCTAGAAGACTCCAAAAGGTGAATCACCGAAGCGGAGCTCGTGTCTATGACATGTGGGGCCGGCCGACCCCACCTAGAGGCCGCCCGACCTGTGGGCCCCCCATGTCAGCCTCCTATTGTTATGTTGGTTCTCCACCGCCTCCTAGGTAGCATCTATGCTGTCCTTTAGCATGGATTCTACTCCTATCTATCAATATGCTAAACCCACGAGCTCAAGCCTAGAGCCACCAAAATCTTCAGAGCCCATCCTAACACCTGGCTATGAGCTGCACCTGTGTTTTATAAAATTGATTCGGGATAATTCCTTCTCGGGAGAAGGCGATGAAAACACATACTCACACCTACAAGAGTTTAAACAAACCTGTGCATGCTTGTGTATTGCTGGCATGTCTGACAAGACCTTAAGATGGAAGTTGTTTCCATTCTCTTTGATGGGAAGAGCTAAATAATGGTATAGTCAAACCGTAGGAAGTATGCAAGGAGATTAGGAAACGTTATGCTCTAAATTTTGTTTACATTTCTTTCCCATCTCTAAAGTGGTTAGCCTTTAGAAAAAGGTTCTAAATTTGAGACAACAAAAAGAATCTCTTGGTACATCGTAGAATCATTTTAATGAACTCATCATCACTGGCCTAGACCTTGTCATTCAAGACCATGTACTTCTTCAACATTTTTATATTGGTCTTAGCAAGGATTCCATGGAATCCCTTGATGCAGCCTCTAGAGGAGCTTTCCTTCATTTGTCTATTAGTGAAGTAAGGGCTATGCTTGATAGAATTAGTGGAAAGACTCCATGCACTAGCATTCATAATGAACTCCCCAAGGAAGAAAAGGAATCATCTCTCGAATAAGAAGAGGAAGTTTTGATAGCCAAATCACAACCACTCCAATCCCAAGATTTAGTTGTTAATCCCGAACCATCAACACTCTAAAATCCTTCAAAGGAAGAAGAAATTCAACCTTTAGAAATCTCTTTTAAGGATGATCTTTTTTATGCTAATTTTGGAAAAAGCTTATTGCTACATAAGAGACATTCGAGCGAATATAATTCAAATCCTCTTAAGAAGGAATCTCTTTGAAAGTGTCCTTATTCCCATATAGGACATTGGGATAAATTCAAGGATGGCATTTCAAGTAATGCCATAGAAGGAGAGCTGAGCCATCTAGAAGCCATTCCTATCCTCTCCCCTTCTATGTCCACATTAGATGTCTCATCTGAACACATCTTTTAATCCATCTTTGACCCCGATGATCCCTCTTATGCTCTTTCTTCTAAGACTCATGATAATCCTAGAAATCCACCAAGACACCCTAAGCATGGGAGTCATGAAGGCCACAAGGATGACTAAAAAGAGCAACGACAATGGCTGGAATGTATTAAGAACTTGTATGCCATTGCTAAAAAATGGATGGACAAGGACGAAGCCTTATGTATTAAGAACTTGGCTTAGATCTAAACGGTGAGGTTAAATCAATCTCTTTAATAAACATGACTCATCCAAGTTTGGAGGAGGCCTTAGACGAGATCAACCCGAGAGTCACCAATCCATGGGAAATATTGGACAATAAAACATCCAATGAATGTCATAGGCATGGAATGATGAAGATAATGTTTTCGCCTATAGACATTCATGAAGAAACACCCTTAGAGCTTGAAAAGGAAGATAAACATCAACGAGCATGGAAGTTATTTTATGAACATTTCATCAAATCCATGCTCGCATAAGAAATCTCCTGAATTAATTGGTCTCTCCAACATTGCCACACATGAGATCTTCAACCCCCTCATTCTCCTTGTTCATAAAGTCTTTGAAAGGGTGGTTGTAGATGCATATGTTTATCATAAATATTGCAGATCTCGTTGTGTGAATCTTGAGATAGGTACACAAAGGTTGATGATGGAGGGGGAACCACTTCACCAACTTGAGTGCAATTAGAAGGTTTCTCAAAGACGAGCTTTTCTCCTAAAGCAAGCACTTTCAGGAGATAACATGAGCTTTCACTTTATGCTGTAATGCCCTTGTGAAGTGAATATAGAAACATAATTGTGAAAATATTCCTTCGAGTATTTTTGTCACTAACCATTCTAGGTTTGAAATAAAAAGAATGAAGGATGACAACTCAAGGTATGTCCAACCAATCATCTTGCAACACTAAATCACATCCATCCAAACTTGACTTTATCTTGCAAAATTCAAGCCTGGGGGATAGGCTTATTTGAAAAATCTTATGCCATGTTGATAATTCATCTTAGTTGTCTCTACCTTTAAGCCATGCTCAATTTGCTAATTAACAATTATTCTCTTTCATCTCTATTTGAATAAATCTCTATAATGTTTTCATGCTACCTTTGTTTACTACAGTATGCTTAAGGTTTGGAGTATGATCTTACATCTTCTAAATTAGGCATGTTGCTTAGTTTAAACTATTTTCCTGA